TGCATTAGCAGTCCGGCAGCAAAGACAGGCCTCTGGGCTATGAAAGGAACTGTGGCAGCATTCTGATTTTTGTAGAAAGCCCCTTCTACCTTTTGCTCTCTGAACTTCAGTTTCTATATTATTAGGGTACAAAAGTAATTGCAGTTTATGCCATTAAAGTAATGGCAAAACCCACAATTACTTTTGCACCAACATAATAACTATTCTCTGATTGCATTTTCAAGACTGGACATTAATTGATACAACATATATCTGGTAAATTGATGTAAATGCTGTAAACCAAGTTATATGGGTATAATTGTCACAGATAAACAACATTTTTCTGTCTATGGGGACATCAGTGAGAGATGTTCCCATTGGGTCAAATAGGTTGAGTTTACTTTGGGTCTAATAGGTTCAGTTTATAGGAGATTAGAGTGAGACTGAAGAGCCAAAAAGGCATCCTAGGCAGACAAAATAGCAAGAATAAAATTAGGCAGATTTTTAAGAATCATGATATTTAGGGAACAATGGTCTCAGGACATGGAAATGTATATACTTATTTACAGAGAACTCACTCTACCTTAGCTGTTTAATTATATTCAGATCCTTCTCGCTTTCTTAGTAAACATGTTCTTCTTAACCTCTTTTAACTCCATAGGATTGCAGACTCTAAGTAGCTAAGGACAAAATTGGGAATAAAAAAAATACTGTGTAAACAGGTTTCATACATCCTGCACACAGCTGAAAAAATTAGGAGCTATGTAACCCAGGGGGATGCATTGAAACATAATTAATCAATGTTTGTAAATTGCTTTGAGACTCTCAGTGAGTAAATACATGTGAAAAGTTGTGTCATCATTTTTCTTATCTAATGTGCTTTGTAAGAGAATAAGGTGGTGAGTGGCAGAGAATAGGCAGATTCCCAAGTTAAACTTGAGAAGGACAACTTTATATCCGGAAAATAGTAAACTTCTATTAAATTTTATTAAGATAGTTTCCTTACAACAAACAATAATAGTTATAAATAATTAAACAATAAAACAAGTCTAGGCATCTGTGCTTTGAAGTCTTTAATGCATGCCTCAGGCATGTGATAAATCATAAGTGATAGAATCAAATTGACTTTAATCAAGAAGCCTGCATTAATGACATAGTAATTTGTACTCAGTTGTCTTATTGTTATAATATCACCAACATTTTTACAGATTCAAAGATCCACTTTTTCCTTGTGCACAGACACACACACCAACAAAAAAAATCCAAAATGCTGATTAAGAACAGATGTCCTTTTCCCAATGCCAGTATTACTAGTAATTGTAAAATCTTGAAGGTCTTTCAGTTTAAATGTCACATTTTAGAGTACAAAGCAAGATGTGAATATAGCAATTCCTTTCACTTCCCATCTTGTTAGATTGCCCCTGTGATACGGTTAAACAGACCATGAAATGGACTCTTTCAAAACTAAGTATCAGTAGATTAAAATCTATAGTTATTTTCACACATTTTTTCTTCCCATCTCATAAATAGGACACCCCCAAATAGTTCTTTCTAAAAATCACAGATTAGTGCCTTAAACAGAGATAACCTGACTTTATTAAAATTTCCAAATATTTCTTTCACATGCAGCCTTGTCATCAGAAATCATATTAGTGAGCTGCAGTTTTCGAAAACCCACAGGTCTTCATGAAAACTGGAAAGTAACAAACAAAAAGCTTAAATCTGGTATTATGTTATGTGATGTATCCTAAAGAAAACAAATTAAATCCTAGAATCTTGACTCTGTGAAGCCCAGGGACACTAAATTGTGCAACTCTGTAATACACCACTCATACTATATTCTATTTGAATATTGCCTCAGACCCAACTGCCTAGGTGTCCCCAGAGAAAACTAATACAATTAGAACCATTTCACCCAGGAATCTAGAACTGAAGGGCAGTCCATTAATTCTATGATTTTATCCTTTTTTGGCTATCTTTGAAGTCTTGAAGTATGTCTTTATTTCTTATGATTTTGTTCTTTTTACTTTGTGTGAATGGCAACCCTTGAATTGTGTGCATATATATATGTATATATATATATATATATACATATATATACACACACACACAAAATATAACATATATTTGTATCTATGTACTATAACATATATGTGTGTGTGTGTGTGTATATATATACATATATGTACACACACATAATTTTCCCTAGTGCATAGCATAGGATGGTAACCCTTGGATTATGTGCTTTATACAATATATATCATATATATGTTATAATATATATTATATAAAAAATTTTTCCTTTAAATCCCTCTTCTTCTCCCATGCCAAAGAAAACTGCTGCACACTCTATGAATTACCAATTGGATCACAGTTTTATGTCTTTTCATGCTACATCTTGCTTTAAATCTTTGATGGTACTCCAAGCCCTAATGATTAAATCCAGGCTGATTAGCTCAGCATTCAGCCTGATATCAGTTTATTTTTCCAACATCTCTTCCTGACACATATCACCTTCCAGGCACAGTAAACTCTGAGCACTCCACATTTCTCACAAATGTCATACACTCTGATGCTTTTGTGCTTTCATTTACAATATTCTCAGTACTGAGAATAGCATTCTGAAATTTTTTGCTTGAAAAAAATATTAATTCTTGTATATTAACTTTTTTCCAATGACACACTGACTTGCCCCGTCAGATATATTTTATCCACCTAATAAATATTTCTAAGATGGCTCCCATCCATCAAGATTAAAAGTCAGAGACACAACAATAAAACAAACAGACCCTCTGACCTCAAGAAGATGACTACCATCACTGAACAGGTAATTATAATGAGTGCTGTGATAGAGCAACATCCTCGTGCTAAAATATGAATAAGCCTCTGTTTGGGATATCCAAGCAAGGGTCTGAAGGATAAGGAGTCAGATGGATAAAGAGTAGAGAATCTCATTTCCATTAAAGGGTCAAGCTTTCTCCAAACTATAATAGAGTACATTGAAATTTATAAGGTTTTATAGATATCATCTCCTTTAACTTTTACAGCAATGAATTAGGTTTTTTTTTTTTCCATTTTGCAGAAGAGAAAATTCAGGTTCAGCCTCACAGAGTGAGGTTCAGATAACTTTATATTCCCATTTTGTCTTGTGGTGATGTTGGGTCATGTAACTTTCATTCAATCAAAGTTCAATCAGTTGACAGAAATTACACAGTAATTTCAACAGGAAAAGTTTAATATAAAGAATTAGTAACTACAACAGGAAAGTAAAAATATGGAAAGCACTCTTAAGAATACCCTATGACTGAGTGAGAATACCTTAGAGAGGACAAGAAGAAATGGGACCCCCATAATAAGGCTGGAATTCAAACGTTGTTGAAGATGTGTTTGCAGTGAATTGGGTAGTGAAGACATTCACTGGTTTCCACAAGCCAGACTTGGTTTACAGTCACTGTAAAACCAGGAAACAACCATGGTGTGAGGATAAATTGAGTATGGCAGGCAGGCATGAAGAGAAAGGTGTATGGAGTGTGCTCAAAGGAGGTAACCTATGGCCTGATCTGTGTTAGGAGAGGGCCACAAAAAACAATTCTCTGAGAATCACACAGGCTGAATGGAAACCAGGGTGTTGAGAACCTGCTTGACAGCAAGGTGGTATGTGTCTTGGGGTAACCATGTCTCAAAGATGTCTATGTAAGAATAAATAAGGGATAATACATCTGCCTGGTTCCCCACCCCAACTGTCTTTTTTCTTTTGATCAAAGTTCTTACTGTAAAGAATCTCCCACATTACTGGGTTTTATCATCTAAAAACTTTGGAAGTCATTTGGGATGCCAAACCTCACACTCTGTAGTGTGTGCTTCATTTAAATGTGGAAATAGCAGGAAAAGCCAGAAGCCCCAGGCTGAAGCTGCTCACCACAGCCGTGCAGTAGGGGCACAAAGGAGGGCCTGGTTAGTGACTCTGGTCAAGTGACTTGTCAGTCCCTGGTGGTGTCCATGGGTCTGGATGGTGGATACCATTGAGGGAATCTGAGTACATGAATAGGTATCTAACATACTTCCTCTGACCCTCCTTTCTCAATATTCCACGGCTGATTAGTCCCCAACACATGAGCAGGTTATCACCAAACCTCAATTATGAAAGCCATTTTTTCTTTTTATGTTATGTTCATATATTTTTTAGCTTCATAGATTCTGTGTTTTACAGTTGAACATGCAGCAGAATATTAATATACAATATATAGTATAATATTAATACATTTTTCTATAACATTTTAATCATATATATTACAGAAAAATATATATATACATATATATGTATTCTGGGGTGTGGGGAGTCTCATTCTGGATCACAAGAACTGACAATAAGCCAGAATTTGAACCTAGGTCTTCCTGTCCTTTCTATTATCTTTAGTGATAAAATTGAATAATTGTGTCATAGACAGATTGGTTTGCTCCTGTTGCCCCACTGGGTGGTTTTTTTCAATCAACCTACTAATTCCCATTAGACTTACATTCATTTCCTCCAAGACTATACGAATTATGAGGACTCCATGAGATAGAGTAATTACTGCCTGCTATGACTCAAATATATGCATTTCTTCAAAATGTATATGTTGGAACTTACCCCCAAGGTGATGGTATTAAGAGGTGGGGTTCTTGGGAGATGATTAGGCCATGATTAGGCTCTGCCCTCATTGATAATATTTTTGCTCTTATAAAAGGGCTTGAGGAAGATTATTCATTCCTTTTTCTCCCCTTTTTCCCTCTTGCCTTCTATCACGTGTGAACACTGTGAGTAAATGCCATTGAGATGAGACAGGCTCTCATCAGATTCTGAATCTGCTTGCCCCATGAACTTGTTTGGACTTCCCAACCTCCAGAACTATGAGAAATAAGTTTCTATTATTTATAAATTAGCCAGTTTGTAATATTTTGTTATAGCATCAGGAATGAACTCAAATACTACCTTTTGAAGGTATTATCAGAACAGGAAGGGTAACGAACAACCCCCAAACCTATTTGAGTAGTATACCTGTAGATACATGGTTATTTAATGCTCTGAAAACAGATGAGTGCTGTGTTTAAAGGCCTGGGCACCAAGTTAAATACAAATTCTTCTATAGGCTGAGTGCCCTTGGCGAAATCATTTAACACCCCTGAACTTTATCTGAAAATGAAAAAATAATGCTTGTTAAGGACTGTCATGGGAGTTAAGTCATACACGTTTGCAAAATCCTGGCCCATATGAGACACCATGTTTTTTTCAACTACTCAGTGTTATGTGATTAAGACCTCTTTTTCTGCCTTTTTGCCCAAGTCCCAATCAACATAATTGAAATAGTCTTAAACACCAAGATTCACTTTAACAGTTTCTCTCTAGCCTTTATTTGATTGCATTTATAGGTCCATAAATGTATGTATAAATGTGCTTGTCTGAGTCACTGTCTATATCTGTATAAAAGTATCATCTCTCATTATCTGAAGAATCATGAATATAATTTTACTGATGTACCTGAAAGATGTTAAGTCTTTTTTTTTTTAAGCTATAATGTAGCTTCACATGGTAACAAGGCAATTCACATCTTGGCAAGCTTTCATGTGAAAATGTTTTGCTTTGCCATATGGCTCCAGATATGGCCAGTTACATCCTGTTAACTTTTCTAGACATAGGCTGGTTGGATCCTCTTCTCATTAAAACACAGCAGAGTCCATTAAAGCTCAAATGACAGTCTATTTATTCATTCACAAAATAAGCATTTGCTCAACACAGTATGTGTGTGACACCATAGATGTGGAAACTAGTGAATAAATTTGAGTTACGAAAATATTTTGGGTTCTCATTTTTAAGTTTTTAAGACTCTTCTCATGAGATTACTGACATATTGGAAAAATTATACGATTTCTTAACAGTGGAAAAATTAGACCAGAGAAAGGAAAAGTTTAGTATTTATTAAGCAGTGTATTTGAAAGAACAGGTGACACAGTGCTTAGACATTAGCCTGTAGTGCACAGAAAGGGCAGGAAGGGGTAAATATATCTGGGAGCAGGGGAAGCATAATTGACTGAGATTTTGTAAATCAGCCCTTACACATTTAATCTATGGTCTTCTTGATTCCATGCATCTTTCTGCATCCCAGTCGTAATAACATTCCATATTCTATGTGGAACAACTAGAGCCTTCAACAAGAAACAGGAGGAGCGTTTGTCATATTTGCCTTCCCAGGTTTTATTTTTTCCTTTCTTTTTTTTCTTGACATTCCATTCTATGACTGAAAACAGCTTCAACTAAATTATAATCTCAAGTTATTCCAGATTTATCACCCTCACCATAATATTTTAAGTCTTTGAGTTCTCCCATCATCCAGCACATTTACATCAAAAATTTGAAGTTGCACATATTTATATATAACAGAAAATAAATAGGCACTTTTTATCCTTCGGGTTTTTTTTTTTTTTTTATCAAACTTATGAGTTCCAACCCAACAGGAAATACTGTCATGCCTCCTCTTTGAGATAAATAAAAATGGAGTACTTGGAAGAAGTTATTCTGGATCACAAAGATTTTAGATAGAAACCAGAGAGGACAATGACTATTAAGGCTTCAGTAAAAGTAACTAGTTATGTAAATTCCAACTTAGGATTCAGAAAGGGAAAAGAGAGAGATTTAACAAGCATCTGCTCTTCAGTTCCGTTTAATCCAATTCTGTTTGACTCTTAGGTTTCTTTTGAATTAAGACTAGTCATCTACATTGCTAATGTTCTTGCCTTCACCAATTTTCAAGCGCAATATCTGAGGTAGATATTGTTATCATTACTTTTAGATAAGGAAACTGATGCTGAAGGAGAGCAGACACAGAAAGTGGATGGCAGAACCGGGGTTCAATTCCTGGTCTATCTTACTCTAAATTCCGTGTTCTTTTTACCTGACACTACATTAGGCTAACAGATGAAGACTTATACAGGCAAGAATTAGTCATTTTATACTTCATGTATTTACTAAGCACAAATGATACATAAACCTCTCTTATACTGGATCCATGAGTAATTATTTCTGTGTTTCTTAAAAATTGAAGAAATAGGGCAGTCAAGTAGAATCTTGAAAGCTTAAGGCTTAAACTTTGAGATCCTTGTTAAGATGAGAAAATTGGTTATCTACCATTTAATAGGATCTGGAAAAATTTGCCAGTAACAGTGCACTGTGTAATGAAAGAGGAGACTGCTTAAGAGAAATATAATTTCTCTGTCATCACTGAGAAAGAGATTCAATGAAGCAGTTCTGAAAACCCACAGGGGCAGAATAATTATGCCAGAGCAGAGACATCACCTTAGGAGGGATGAAATAAAATGATCAGGGTCAGTGTGATACCAGAAAATAATTAAAGTTTTTGACCAATGGGCCATGGTATATCTTGGTGATTATAACTTACCTCAGATTTATAATATCTTAATAGCAAGTTCAAAAGCAAATGCTTCTGTAACCTTCAGCTGCTGATCCTTATTCATATGACTTGAACTGGTGGAGAGGTTTAATAGCCAGGAAAACACACACACACACACACACACACACACACACACACTTCCTTTCCTAGAGGCTTTTATTTCTATTCAAAACTGGAATCAAGACATCCAATCAGTATTCTCTACAGGGCCTTGGGTAAAATTGTAAAGTTAGCAAAGTTCATCATCACCAATCTTTAGCCAAAATCCTCTTTCCACACTTGTTATCCTCTTAGGGGCAGCTCTACTTACACCCTTAGCTATCCAGTGAGCTAGTTTCTACCTCCCACGATGCTTTCAAATTGCTAAGTATAATTCTCAGGAGATTTGAATGTCATTTATGGTAATCAATGGTTCACTGATTATGTTAGTTGTCTATTGCTACATAATAAATTACCAGAAATTCAATGGCTTAAAACAATACACACTTATTATCTCACAGTTTCTGGATACCAGGCTTAGCTGCATTATCTGCTTAGGGTCTCCCAAGGCTGCCAAAAATGTGTTGGCTGGGCTACATTCTTATTTGGGGAAGAATTTGCTTCCAAGTTCACTCAATCAGTAGAATGCATTTTCTTACAGGCACAGCATTAAGAGTTTCTGGGTTTTTTGTTTTGTTTTGTTTTGCTGGCTTTTGACCAGAGGCTGCCCCTGGCTCCTGGATGCCATCCACAGTTTCTTGTCACATAGACTTTTTCAACATGGCTCCTCTCATCAGGCCAGAAAGAAGGATCTCTACATTGAGCCTGCTAGCAAGATGGAGTCTTTTATAAGGTAATGTGGCCATACAAGTGACATCCCCCTCACCTTTGCCACATTCTATTGATCAGAAATAAGTCAGAGGTCCCACCTACACTCAAGGGAAGAGAATTCCACAATCTCATGAACACAAGAAAGTGGGAATCACTGAGGACCACTCTAGTCTGTTTGCCACATAAAGATCATGTCTTTAAGTAATATATTTTCAAGGCATATGTGTTTTAAACATGAATCAAAGGGTTAAAGTTACATGTGTGTGTGTGCGCCCCAAATAGTCACTTTGGTCAATAAACAGCAAGAACATTTAAGGAAGAAAGAAAAGTAGCAGGCTTGTCTAATTTCCCTGAATTCTGCTGAATAAGAAGCATGATCCACAGGTCAGAAGCTTTCTTCTACATCCATGTTTTATTGGTATGTATTCATACTAAATAAGCAATGGAGTCTTGGGCAAATTATATAACTTCAGTTGATTGATCTGTAAAACGAATAATAAACATCCCTTACTGTCAGTTTTGCTATCTAAAGCCAGTTTCTTTTTACCTCTGGGATTAAATAATCCCACTTCCTCCTGCAAATGAACTGTAACTGTGCACTAAACTTACCAATAGAGTCTCAAGCAACAAAGACAAAAGGGGTAAATTATGTATCTTGAGCAATAATATTTGAAAGAAAATAGTCTTTCTTTTATGACTTTCATAAGTTAGTGAGAGCAACTCTCAAAAAACATTTTTTTAAATTTAAAATATGTAAATACATTATTTTTAATTCAAGCATCATACATAAAAAATCCTTATGATCACCATCCCCAGTTCTAGTTCTAATCTGAGTGGTATGTTTATTGATTTTTTAAATATATATTATTTCAGAACTTTTCCTATGCAATTATAACTAATTTTTATTTTATTTTATTTTGTTATACTTTAAGTTGTGGAGTACATGTGCAGAATGTGCAGCTTTGTTACATAGTTACACATGTGCTATGGTGGTTTGCTAAATCCATCACCCCATCATCCACATTAGGTATTTCTCCTAATGCTATCCCCTGACAGGCCCCAGTGTGTGATGTTCTCCCCTACCCCGTCTCCATATGTTTTCATTGTATAACTAATTTTATATATCATTTTTTCTTACATGTGTTCAGAGAGATAGATAATATTATACTCTATGTAATGTTCTTTTTATTAATCATATTTTCTGGAGTTATATTAAGGTTAGTACATATAGGGTAATATTATTTTGTAAACTGTCCCATAATATTTTCATGCCCACCATTGTTTCCTGTCGACCTGCAGATTAAAAAGAACCTATTCCATTTTTTGTTTTTAGCTACAGTAAACAATATTGGAATAAACCTCCTTGAAGATATCTTAATATACAAATGTAAGCATTTTTTCTAGAGTTAAAACAAAGAAAATAATTGATGCGACATAAGCTAAACATTTTTATTTTAATATAGGCTGCCAAAATTACCATACAAATCTATACGTCCCTCAGAAGTGAAAAATTTGTTATTAAATAAAGTTACATGGATAAAATACCTAGTGCAATCCTTGGCATGTATTAAAGTTCTCAATAAATATTAGATCTTTTTACTAGAATAAGATAAAAATAAACTATTTTCTGATAGTTTGACTTCATGGGAGAATAGAATTTGGAAGAATAGGGCAGTTTGATAAAATTTCCTGAATGCATAAGTGACGATGTGAAACTCAAATAAGCAATGTGATGAGGACAAACCCGATATTTCACAATTTTACCTAAGGTCAATTC